ATAAAGAAATTTCATCATCATTTTCATTGCCTCGGTATTTAGTTTACAATTAAATTTTACAATTTATGAGCCTTGTTTAACGAATGAAAACAAATTTGGGTAACTGATGTACCCTGCATCTTTAACCCCTTTTCATACATAGAATACATTTAAGTTGCTTATTCACTAAAAAAAACAAGTGGGAAAAGAACGATTACTTGATTAATATATAGAATAATTCAAGACAAAATTCATGTTCAGAGGACATTATACATTATACAGTGCACATTTTGTAAGACGCAGACAAGTCAAGCTTCCTCCCCCCCCAACTTTTTTCCCAACGTTACATTTACTATTGAAAATGTCTATTGAAAGGCAGCCCCCCTCCTTTTACCACTGTAAAGTGATATCGGGGAAATGTAATTTTGTATCAACTATGTAAAAAAATGGTACTGAAAGAAGTTGGCATTGAAAAAGACGTTTGCCTCTACACCCCCTACCCCCTAACCCCCCCCCCCCCCCCGCTCTCCCCCTGAAATAGTATTTTCGAGTTTTGGCAATGTTCATTTCTCAATTTTTCTTTCTTGTTTTGTTTTGTTTTTTTTTTTTTTTTTTTTTGCTTGTAGACTTTTTTAGTTAAGTTTAAAAAAAAATTCCCTGGCTGCCCCCCCCCTACTTTCAAAAACGATACTACGTCACTGATTGGCTCCATCTCTGAAGTTTTAATTGGACGGCGACTTTGCCATCTATAGGTTATTTATTTCAATCAATCGGCATGCAATCAAGAAGACAGCCAATGAATCGAAGTGCTAAAAAAAAGCAAGGGCAGCTTAGAATTTCACGTAATGGGAAAAGAGCTGTAAAGATGTAAGGGGTGTTAAGAAAGTTCGTTCCATGATAAAATATTTTCAAAAATTTCAAAGCAGTACTTAACGAAAGAGATGAATTTTCAAGTCGGAAAAATTCACAAGAGTATGCTTGAGATTTATAGCAATTCATTTCTCACAGGGTGTTATAGGATTTTTCTTCCATATGAAAATATATGTGACATCTTTAAAGCACTGGAATTATAGAAATGCTGGTCAATTTGAGTGAAAATAAAGGATAATTTACTTCTGTTTCTTCATAGCTGATCTTGCATCAGATAAGCTAATGAGCGTAGGTAAAAGAAAGATAGATCACTTTTCAAAAGAATAGTTTTGTCAAGTAGAAGTTTTTATTACTGACTTAAAGAAATTTTGCATAGTATTTGAAAGGATGTTTTGACCCGTTTGCTTTATATATGTCACAAATATATGTCATTCCTAATTTTTCTGAACAGACATCATCTGTTTTTATACCTGACCTCCCCTTATTGATACAACAAAAGACAGTTAAAACCTTATAAGTAGCACAAATGAAGTCTGTAAATGAAATATCACAAATTGTAAATATTTTCTCATCGTATTTCTTTTGGAATGAACTTTCTTAACACCCTTTACAATGTAGAACTAAAATTAATGTATACTTCATGGTAAAGAATCTTCAATTTTATATATGTAAATTTTAAATCAAATTGCATTTTATCCTTTTTTTAAGTCGTATTCAAAATGTGCCAAATCTGAAACAGGCACAAGAATTTAAAATGGCAACATGTTCAATGAGATACTGAAAATCCCCTTTTATTCGCGAGAACTTTATTTTCGCGTAATTACGCGAGAAGGTATGCTCGCGAAAATTTCATTCTCGTGAATAATCGAATCCCGAAAGATTATATAGAGAAATTACCGCAATTCGTGAAAATTTTGTTTCGCTAATAAAGAGTCAATGAAGAGTCAATGACTATCTCGCAAAAATAAGGTGTCGCGAAAAATGAGTGATCTACAGTATTATGAAAATATGCGATTTGAGATGCAGAAATAAGTTAATTAAATTTTGAGACAGATTAGCGTTATTTACTTCCCTTTCCTTTGCTCAACATTCTACCACGATTATTCCCAAGATCAAAGGAAACCACCGGACATTATTCTCCAATAAATCACGAACGTCATCAAAAAATCATCAGAGTTGGAGTGTGATACCTATTAAAACCATTAATATTACGTCTTAGTAATGTGTCAGTACCAGACAATGTTGTGTAACTTGTGTATTGCCTCAAATGTTTATTTCTGAAAGCTCAATACGGCTGTTCCAAGGACCTCCCCAACATATTTGTGAACTGTGTGTTCTTACGAATAAAATAATGAAATTTAATTTTTAAAATTGTATTTCAATTATTTATAATTTTAAAATTACGAAATGTTGTCTGAAATTACGAAATTTCGAAATGTTGTCTGAAATAAAAAAGCCTCGGCTAACGCCTCGGCTTTTATATTTCAGACAACATTCCTCGACCTCGGAGGTTATCCTGCAACACACACGATAACGCGGACTTTAAAGTTTATATAATTTTCTATTTCTTTTAATCAAAAAACTTTTATCAGTGATTCCCAGTCAAATTTCTAGCTGAAACATTTTGCATCTTTGAACGCATTTCTCATTTCCTTTCCTCCTTCTTTGTTTTTAGATTTATAAAAGGATTTAGGAAGGTTTGTACAGAAAATTTTAAACACCTTACGTGCATGAATCATGGAAAAAAATATTTAGTGAGTTTTATTATAATCAAAAATACTGATCAATCCACAAATCTAACAGTTTAACTTTCTTCTTGTTGATCACGGGGAAACACGTTTATAAATTTTATGACTATAATCTTTTCAAATATTCTCGATTAAATTTTTAAAAGCCAATTTACAAACTTTAAATAAAACCTATGACACATACCTAACGAGTTTCAAAAACCAAGCCGAATAAAAAGATCGATGTTGAATATTTAAAGTTAAAATCTAGAAACTGAAAGAGTAAGACAAAACCTTTTTTTTTTATTTGAGCGTTTGCTTGAAAGCTTTAATCTACAAAAATCCACTAGAATTCAGATCTGTGTGCCACATTGTTTAATAGAACGTGCTAAAATTGCTATCACCATATCAACCATCAATTGGATGTTTGATTTTGATAAAATCAATACTACTTTGCATATTAATGAAAGCCATGCTTCAATATAAATCGCAATATTGACCAATCGTATCAAATAACTTTTCAAACGAGTCAAGCGCAAGTCCAGTATTTTTATGCGTGTATATGTGTGTGTGTGTGTGTGAGAGAGTGTGTGTGTGTGTCTGTGTTTTTTTTTGGGGGGGGGGGGGAGCATGTGGACATTCGAAGCAATTTCTTTACTTATAATGATGATATCGATAGCTATAAGGTCGATTTCTTTGAAATGTATAATTCAATATATAACAGTTACTTTGGAATGTTTACCTTTACTGTTATCATTTACTCTCACATGTATCATCTTTGAGACTTTTTATGATGAAGTTGTTTTAGGAATCTAATGTTAGAGTAAATAAGTTATAAAAATGTTTTGTTTTTTTATACAAATATACTCAATAACAGAAGGTTATTGAATTAAAAAAAATTATAATTTGAAATATAACTTAAAAGTTATTAAGAAATGAATGTAATATTTTTTCCTTTGATCGAAGCATCAAATAAAAAGGAACTACATGCAGTATATTGCAATCTTTGCCCCCACAAAAGTCAACTTTTGAAAAATTCTTGAAATGCGCTAAATTCTGTAAATTGTATAAGAAATATAAATTAACATAATATATTACAGTTTCAAATTAGTTTATTGATAATTTTTGTTTTTATGTATTCACAATCTAGTCTGATTTTATATCATTTTTTAGAAAGAGGACAAAATGGCCAAAATTTCAACAATTTTGGCTTTAAAATTCATGGAGCGCAATTGCTTAGGAACGATATTTACATATTTTGTTGATATAATCATTCTACACCTTATATTAAAATATGAAGCCTGATCAGACCTGAGGTCGGTGATTTTTACTCAAAATATCGACGTAATATATACCTTTTCTGCAGAAATCATGGAAATTTTAAATTAACGTCATTTTCGTGACGTCATTTCAAACATATGACGTCATTGCTTATGAAAATATCCAGTGTTTTGAAGTCTGCATATACCCCCCCCCCCCTGTTTAAGATCGTAATAAAATATTTCTCCGTCAAAGTTTGATTTGGGGGGCAAATATTGGTTCTTACCGAATAAAGTTCTTTGGCCACCCAACGAGTGATATCGCGCGTCACTTTAGACTTTTTAAATGTCTGTTTGTCACTCGTTTGTGTTTGTTGATTTCAAAATACAGTTATTTAGTAGAAACAGTTAATCTTCATTCAACCTTAATATTTTGCAATTTACACTGTTTGTGGTAGAATTATAATCATTCGTTGTACATTAGAAATTTCGTTGCATTTTTATGCAAAGTTTATTTTGCAAAGATGGTAATTCTTTTGCATTTATACATGTATGTATATGCTTTTTTACTAAATGGATCATTTATTTTATTTTTATGTAAATGTTTTGCGAAAAGGTCTGTTGATTTTGCATTTATTTTCTTTTATTAAGCTTAAATTATGGTCATTAAAATTATAATTATTGTTTACACGTATATGGTATTATTGCCCTTTAATTCTGCTGCCCACATATATTCTCAAAAAAAAATATCATTAAATATTTAGTGTTCAAATTGATTAGTGATTCAAAAACAGAAATATTGTAATTTCAGTCTCTATGCTGGTGTCTTTATTTACCTGTCACGTTTTAAAATTAGGGGTGTGACAGAAAGTGTTTTTTTTTATATATATAAAAGAAAATGCATATAATCGTTTTCTAGTCTTTAAGACTTCGAAGTGCAGCAAGTTAAAGGTAAATTATGTTTATTTATTCAAAATAGGAGATATGTCTCACAACTAATTTAAAAAAATATCTTCTAAAATGTGCCTTTTCAAAACAAAATTATTGCGTGTTACTTTGGGGGTTGGGGCTTTTAAGTATTGAATATATATAAAATCAAACAATTTTCAGACTATGTCTTTTTCAATAATTTGTTTTTGTTGTCATCTTTTAACAATTTAAGATGATGCGAATTTTCTCTGTTGGCTTCATCGTGGTAGTAGTCACTTTTCAAGCTGGACAGTGCTTTCCGCCTGGGGGAACTGTTTACACCCGATGGGGCCGCACGACGTGTCCACCGACAGCAACAATTATCTATTCAGGTAATGGTTACTATTGACAAAATTGTCCAATGTATATACTGATCAAGTAGGAGTTATTGTTTGTAAGAATCTACAGCATGCTAAGTATCTTGCAGATATGCTGTAAGATACTGCTGTTAGCAAGTAAATTTACCAATATTTTAATTATGTTACCTAACTGACTGATAAATTGCAAGTCAACACAATTATTTTGCATTTTAGAATTAACAAATTGTATGTGTACATAGTTACGTTGCATGTTGAAATAATTTATTTTGCATTTTAGAATTAACAAATTGTATGTGTACATAGTTACGTTGCATGTTGAAATAATTTATCTGGCATATAAGAGGCAGAAATATGTCACCATAGTTTTCAAAACATTTCATAGTTTAAAACTGTGACCAGTTTTTACATGTATATATCAGAAGCTTCCTACCTAGGTTAAAAATTTAATAACTTAGACCATGCCCTAGTTTTGTGTATCGATAGTTGAATGACGTTACAAACACCAAAGTTGACGATAGGATGAAAAACTGAAATCTTCTGTTTTAGTTCAACAAAAAGCTGATATTAAATTCAGAGAAGGCATTGAGGGTGAAAGCATTCAGGGAGAGTTATACGAAGGCAATATAATGAAAATATAGTTCATTTCTTCATTATTAAATCCTTCTTCATTCTTTAATCCTGGTTGTAACACGCCTTTTGACTGGATAGAAAAATTATTTCATATTGCATAACCTGAGATGCAGTCATCACAATCAGTAACTAAACTTAAAACTGGGGTCCATTAAAAACATTCCTTAAAAAATTGTAACGGTTCTTTTGATTGGATAACAAATTAGTTACTTATCGTATAGCCCACATGCATGCCTCTCGTCAAAAATGTGTCAATCCACTTGAAGTTCTTTATAAAATATAATATTTTATACAATTTGAAAGTAATTTTGAGTAAGAAACTATATAATTTCTAAAGTTAATGATGGAAAGGAATGAATTTGATAGCGATATTTTTTTTTCAAGTGTTACCTGTCCCAGGTTACACAGTATAACTGGGGTAGCTATCAAATTCATTCCTTTAATAAAAAAAGGATTACTTTGTCCTTTAGGTTATGCTGGAGGAACTCATTACTACTACCCAGGAGGTGCAGTTGAACCGCTCTGTTTACCGAAAAATCCAGAGTGGGGGCGCCATAACACTGAGCAAAACTACGCCTTTAGAGGAGTCGTATTTGGAGCTGAATACCAAACTTACACAGATATCATAATGAGTGATCTCCACGACCAAGATGTGCCATGCGTTGTCTGTAGAACTCAAAACGACAAACCTGTTTTAGTTATTCCAGGTATAGATATATGATTTTAAATGATTGCACTGAGAGAAATTAAACGAGAATTTTCCAGTTAGAAAAGCAGTTATTCGATTTTCATAATTCGGGTATTTGGGCCAGGCGAGCTCACTTTTGATTTAGTTTCAATTTTTCCAAAGGAATATATAGAAGAGAAGAGAGACTGAGATAAAAAATGAGCTTGTCTAAGTTTTATTGCCCCCCCCCCCCCCAAGGGCCAGATTTATATTTCTCAAGTTAAGAACCCATTTTGTTTATTATTCGTTGCCACTACTAAATCTGAGTGTGAAACTAACAGTTTACTAAAATATTTTGAAATCTCACACTAGCATTTTTTAACTTGAACTTGAAACATGTACTAAAAATAGATGAAAGTTAATATATGAAAACAACCATTTATTGATTTGTAATTAGACGCGAGAATATCGTTTATCGTACAAGTAAATGGCTGCCTTGTGATTGTTCAAATGAGTTATTTTAAAGAGCTTAATTAATTTAATTTACGACTTTAAAAGGGGATACAACTGATTCTGCGAAAATAGAAGTGAAAGGACAAATAACCCAGTTCAAAGAATTCCTGTTATGATACGCAAATGGGAAAAACAATTTTAATTAGATGTTTAAATTATAAAAAGATATTCTTTACGTTGTTTTTACAGATAAAAAAAAAGAATAGAAGAAATCTTTTTAAAGGTGTCTTTTTGGAGTTTCATCATTAGGTTTTCATTGTATATAGTTAAATAGGCATTGTAGAATCCAAATACATTATAAGAACTAACTCTTTTAAAAAGTAAAACAATATATCAGGGAAGCCAAACATCAAATTTTACTGTCAGAATTTAATACCGGTATAGGCAAACAACTTTAACAAGTACATAGCTGCAGAACTGTAGCTTTCCGAAAAAAATATTTTGACAGATCGGAGAGCTACAGTGCCATCCATTGTAAAAACTGTATATTTATTTATATATTTATATTTACAAGCTGAAAGTTTCTGCAAACTGATTATTCAACTTCACAAACTGTGTCAAAATTGCTGAAAAAACACATATTAAACGCAGAACAAATGTCTGTCACAAATTCAATTTCAAGTAGTGCTAGTTTAAAGGTACTTGGACACCGATTTGAAGTTAATAATTTCTCTATAATATTACGAATTATAAATTTTAATAGCATTTCACACAAAATTTAATTAGACCGTTCACGGTAGCTCAGTCGTCGTGATCGGGAGGTCGTGAGTTCGCATCTCTGCCGCGACTGACCTAGTCGTTAAAATTGGTAGCAACTGTTCCTTCGCCATGCTCTCGGCACTTTGAAGTGAAAATTGCGGGTCCTTCGGATGAGACCTTAAAAACCGAGGCCCCGTGTCAGCGGCAGGCGTTAGCACGATACAGATCCCTCACTGCTCAATGGCCTTGAATGCCGAGTAAGGGTCAAAATTTGAAGCCCTTCACCGACATACGGTGACGTCTCCATATGAGTGAAAACTTCTCGAGAGGGATGTTAAACAATATACAATCAATCAATCAATCAAAAATTTATCAAAAATATCATTTCATTTAAAAGTTATTTAAACTTAATATTCTTTGGCGGGTTTGATTGACACATCCTTGCACTTTCATAAATTTTATCTTTATTTTTAATTCTTAAGAAAAGTGGTAGTTTTGTTTTGTATTAATGAAACTATTAATACTATAATCCAGAAAATTCAGAGTAGACATGTTCGAAAGCAAAACAAACACACAATATATTGTCAGTCCGTGCAGTTGTGGTGAGCAGACTTTGGCGATTGAACGCACTCGGTGAATCGTAAACATCAAACAATAACAGAGCTCGTGCCCTGTTTACAAAAATTGTGTACATAACACGAGTGTGATCGATTTGTAGAACTCTGTTCACAATGGAATGACGATACTTGTGAAAGAGGTTTGCTTTCTAACATTTCTACTGTAAATTTATTTTTCTGGATTTAAGTTTTAATATTTCTCATTAATACATGTACATTGATTGCCACTTTTCCTAATGTTTATGAATTAAGTTAAAATTTGTGAAAATGCAAAAATGTGTCAATCAAACCCGCCAAAAAAAATTAAAGTTTTAATAACTTTTAAATTAATATTTTTTATAAATATTTGTGTGAAAAGATATAAATTTCGTGATTTTATATAGCAAATATTAACATCAAATCTGTGTCCAAGTACCTTTAAAGGCAAAACAGAAATTTTCAATTGCAACAACCCCCTGTTTGCAATTCCAGGTTACTTTTGCAAGTGTTCAAAGAATGGGTGGACTTAACGCCATATTTTTGATCTTTTTGCGACTACTCTAACAAGTTGAAAATAAATGTAATCCAAAATATATTAATACCACTAGAAAGAGCGACATATTCATGGTTATTTTTGCTAGAATATATGTACAAAAGCAATGCCTTGTTGCCATGAATCAAGATTAAAACAACGATACGTTAATGTTGTCTTTCGGAATTACCCGGAGTGGTTTTTAGGACACGCTATCAATATTAATAAGAGGCGGGTCTATCGATCGGTGTCATTGTTGACATTTCTCTCTCTTTCCATATCACTCCCTAGAAATTCGAATACGTGTTTGGCATATTACACAGCGATGTCATTATGATTATTAAAAACAATGTTAGGACACGCAAAATTAAAACAACATTTAATGTGCTAAATTCTGAAAACGGCACCAAACACAGTGATTTACATCTAGGTCAGGTTGAAGAATAAATTTAACTGTTTCCACGAGTACACTGGCAGGTGATATCACGTGATGCATTGTAATATTTAACAGGTCAATCGAAATCGTAACAATGGAAGCGAAAAGTTTTTTAGGAACATACCGGTATGTTTTTTGTTAAATTAAGTGTGAGCGCACGTTTGTCGGCTCTTCTCCTTTTACTATGACGTTATTTTGTTCAATATACGAGGGACGTTCAATGAATAATGTAATTAGCTCGATGACATACAACATAGAAATCATATGACATTAAGCTTGGCTTTTTCTCATTATAGAATTTTTAATGAATAAATAACAGTTTACAGTATATGACCACTTTTCATCGAATTATTTCATTGTGGGAAGCTGGAAAACAAGGGCTATTCGAGACACTGCATTAAAAATGAATGGTCAAGAATCAGTAAACTAGAGTAAAATTTAACGCTTCATTAAAGCAGCTGTAAAACTTGGTAGTATCCAAAAATATATAAACTGAAATATGTTAAATTAACAGCAACCAGTGCCTGTTTTTTAGACACTCGAAAAGTTGGATTTCAATAAACGAAAACTATACTGAAAGGAAAAAGAAACGCAGGGCAGCATAATTTCCGATAAAAATTTGACCACATGACCGAAAATTACGAAAATTGGTCAGAAGGGCTATTTAAACTGTGCATCAAAATCAGTATTCAGAATTATCAACCGTAAAATTTATGACGTCACGTGGAAAATGCTAAAAAGCTCAAAACACGTGCAATTTGATAACGACGAGTTTGTCAACAAATCTTGTTGCATTATTTGATGCATATGATGTATGCACATCGTTTTTCAATATTAAGAGACAATATGAATTTATTGCAATCTTGGCACAGTTTACAGAAGTTCAATGGCGTCTTGTTTTCGAATTGCCTAATTAATGAAAAAGGCAACAACAGTTTACTAAGCAGCTTCTCTTGTTATTTTCCCCCATAAAACGTTTTAGCAGTTGTCAGAGATTGGAGTGGTTTTCAATCAACCGTGACAATGACGTTAACGCGAAACAGAGTCATGTTACGAGCGGGTTATTCGTCCTGCCATCTCTTAAATCGTCACCTTACTACCACAAAAACAGCCATTTATAGAGTAGATGATTATAATCATTACATTCGTAAGAAATTTGAAAGAAAACAATTCTGCAATTTGGTTCGCAAGAGCCTGATCACCTAGATTGTATTCCTCTCACTGGCGCATGCGCGCGCCTTTTGACATTGGATGGTTACCCATAGCATTGAATATAGCACAGGATTTAAAAGTTAAACACTCTGATGAAATTCCATGCAAAAATGACATCAACTTGACAAATGCACAAGATAGACATTGAAGATAATGATTTTTTCGATTTTCAATTTTAAAATCGCTTAAATAAAATAACTTATGAATAATTAGACAAAATCATTTGAGAATTTGGTTATATCTTTTTAAAAAAATGATTTTAAAAGGTGCATAGGAAAACTAAAAAGTATTTTAAGAAAAACAAATTTAATTCACCTCAAAAGTTTCCCCTGCGTTTCTTTTTCCTTTCAGTATATATAATGGGCATAAAAAATGGCTACCGTCCTAGGCAATAAGGACGTAAAAACAACCAATGTATTAACAAATTATCACTGATTATGTTTTATTGACTTAAAGACACTTAGCAATTCTGATAGAAATTATTTTGGGGGTAGTTCACACTTTTTAAAAGAAACATTTGATAGTTAAAAAGTGTAATACTCAACGGTCAGTCTATATTTTGAAATATGAGTGAAAACGACATTGTGCAGGAATATCTTATTATATTATTATTTAAAAATTCAAAAATTGTACTTATTCACATTTGTCTGAAATTCAAACAGATAATGAAACTTGCATCTATTTTGATTTAAACCCTACAAACATATTTTCAATAAGTTGCACTTGACAAAACTAGAAAGGTTTAAAAAGAGCAAAGAATTGCAAGAGCACAACAACAGTTTTATATGCTATTTTCTTAAATCTTATTGTTCAATTTCATATTTGGGAAGGAAGTTCAATTTCTGGAGGAGTTTAAAAAACATTTTTTTTTTTTTTTTTTTTTTTTTTTGCAAAAAAAAAAAAAAAAAAAAAAGGTTCATGAGAGGGAGGAAACAGATTCATTACATTAAATTTTGTTCATGACAGCGTCCAAACCAACAGGCCATGAAAAGTAAAGGAGATTTGGGGATAAACAGAAAGTTAAGGTTTGCCATCTTTGAACCTTTGACTTGTTTCATTTCCCAAACTAAGATGAACATCTATCAGAAAGAAAAAAAACCAGTACAGCATCCGCCATATTCCAGTATACGAAGGGTCATACTCAAAAATGTGTTCTAAAAACAATTAGAAATTCAATAAAAATGTTACAGACATGTGTTTTAATTAAAAGAGAATACTTAAGTTATATCATTGAGACTAAATCATAGAAAACATTTGTTTGTTTCTTTCCGAGCCCCAATGACATTATTTATTGAACGCCCCTCGTTCAACTACAGTTTTCGTAAGAACAGCCACCCGACAAACATGCGCTGACTATGTATTCAGACGATGAAAAATGCGTGACCCTGATTATCTATTGATATTCAAAAATTCTTCAGGCACCATGACTTCGATATTTATTTAATTTATCTCGAAAAGAGTATTTTATATTCACATCCGTACCATAAATATACAGTTAAGATATCGGGACTTAATATGATGGAAAAAAATTAATATTTTATGGAACTTAAATTTACGTCATTTTTTCTGGCCAGTTAAGTCCACCCATTCTTTCAGTAATGGGGCGCTTGGCTTAAATTTAGCTTTGAACTTAAACCCCATACCTAGCCTAGCTATAAATATTCAACAACACAAACTGTGTCAAAGGTTGCTGAAATAGCACATATTACACACAGAACAAATGTCTGCAACAAATTAAAATTGCAACAACTGTGCCACAACATATGAAAGAATCAGATGTCTGCAAAAACTTCAGTAGCTTACCAGAATCTATTGTCTGAACATGTATCTATTGATAATTAAGCAATAGCAGAGGCAAATGTCTGGAACCAAACAAGATATGCAAAACTTGTTCAAAAATTGATATTGCAGCTCCGAATGTTAAATTAATTTGTCAATCAATTCACTTGCACATTATTGAACATAATTTCTGTTGAACATACTCTAACAAAAGCAGCCATGGACCTCATTCTCCAATAGGTGGATAAACAAAGCCTTTAATTGTATCAAAGCAGAAACTAGCTTGCTGAATACAATATTTAATGGAGAAAACTTTCCAAACCGAACCATTATTTACATGTTCATCATCTGCAAATGTATAACTGATGCTGATTTTTGGAGTTTCATCATTAGGTTTTCATTGAATATAGTTTAATAAAATAGGCATTGTAAAATCCAAATATATTATAAGAACTAATCTTTTTTAAAAGTAAAACTCTAGTTAGTTTTTGCATCTATTCTTTTTAATGATGAGCATAAAAACAGTTTTTTTTCTTTTAATTATCGGTGCAAAAATAAATGTGGATCATGATTTCAAACCTAGAAAACTTAGGAATATTATAATCACTTTGAATAATGTAGAATGTCTTCTTTATTTTTTATTATACACCACAGCAAGAAAGTCTTGTTCTGACGGATGGAAAGTAGAGTATTGGGGGTATCTGATGTCAGGAAAACATGACCATCACGCTGCCTCCACCTTCACCTGTATGGATGCTGAACCTGAAACTCTGAGTGGGGATGGAGGGAACGCGGACGGTTATTTGCTCTATCCAGTTGAAGCTAGATGCGGCAGTTTGAAATGCCCACCATACAAGAATGGGGCTGAATTATTATGTGTCGTTTGTTCTGAAAAATGAGACAAAAGAGTTGAATGAATATTTTGAAAAACTACAAAAAATTTATGTTTTACCTCTCACACATGAAACGAGAGACATACCACTAGACTACTAGACCACGGAACTGCTTTTTACTGACACAATTTATAATGGAAAGATGAAGTCACATACATATATTCACGTTCGATATTGTCAAAATTTGACACAATGCATGATGTCTAATTTAACCTTTATTATACAGTTCTAATAGATGTAATAAGAATATAAAATCCACTGAGAACCTGTTTTATACGTAATAACTCTCCTCATGCCCCCGTGCTAAAAATAGCGACATGTAATACAATAAATTCTAATGTAACAGGAAAGGAGAAAATGTATGGCTGGACCGGGAATCGAACCCGGGACCCCTGTATCTCCAGTCAGGTGCTCTACCAACTGAGCTATCCAGGCCAATGTCCACGTCACAAACCATTACATTCCTCCCTCCTTAAATTGTCTTCGCCCTCGTGTTGGAGGTTGCGCCGACTGGACATACCATTGCTAACAAAAACATTACTAATTTATTGAAAATTAAAATTTATGATTCATGCTTTAGATAGAAAAGATGATGCTGAATAGATTTTTTAAAATTCAGTGATTTAACTCACCGTGTAGAAACGGACTAGGGTAAAGTGCGTTACCCTAGTCCAAGATGGCGACAAGCTTATACGCTTCAGATATTCATGAATAAATATCGGTGAATTCTAATGAAAACCCCTATTTTGTTGTGCACCATTTTGAATTGCAGCATCAGTTTTCCTTGCTCAGATAGAGACAACATTCATGATCATCTCTGCGTAATTAACCAGAAAACGCGTCACGAAGTTTTGCCATTGATTAGGGTAAAGTCTATGAAGTGTTTCTTTGCGATTAGGGTAAAGTTTTTTCGAGACTAGGGTAAAGTTATTTATTCTACACTAACTTTACACAGAACAAATGCTATATACAATTAATAAAGTTTAGAAAGGAATTCTGGAAAATATTCAAAAACTTCTGCTTCCTCAAAGAAAACATGTATACCGATTGTTTTTAAACACAGTTTGCATACACAAAATTACTCAAATTTTGAATTTATTCTCTAGGGTCGTATCTATAGGCGTACACAAAAACTTTTTAATTTCAACGTTGGTACCCTGCATAGAAATTAATCAAAATTAATTGTTTCACGTAAATGTATCTCGATAAAAAAAGTTGAATAAAACTGCTGAGTATATGGATATAAATAAATCATTTTTAGACGATGTACGATGATGGGCAAAGCTGTATCAATATCCACAAATGAAATGATTTTGAGGGGTTGGGGGGGGGGGTTTGTTTTTTTTTTGGCAAATGTGATGTCGTAATATTATAGTCGTAGAAGTCAGTTTAAAAAACGCATTTTTTATTCGCATAGTTCTTATTTTATGAATATGATAAATAATACAAAATTGATTTTATATGTTTCATTTACACTTTACTTTTATGTAACTTTATAGGTGCTAGGGCACAGACTTCATGTCATTATTTTCTCAAATTCTCGATTTAATATTTTGTCTAGTTGACTACATAACTTATATTGCCTTGTCTCGTTGACTACATAACTTATATGCGACAACAAACGTACCATGCATGCATTGTTGATGTACCCGACTTTAAATAAATATTATCTTATCTTTATCTTTTTATCTTATCTTATCTTATGCATCGGGGTTTCCTGCAGACCATCGGAATTTGGCGTCATCATCATGGAGTCTTACCTATGTTTCCAAAGCATTTCACACGGAAATATGATTAATCAACGCATCACTAAATCCCTAGCGGATTAATAAAGTAAGAAGACTTACTTTATTAATCCGCTAGGGATTTTGGGATGCGTTTAATTTATACATCCTAGGACAGCCACGTAGCATCGTTTTTGAAAATGGGGGCCAGCCACAGAATTTTTTTTTTACTTAAGTTACCTGAAAAGTTGACAAGCAAAAAAAAAAAAATGGAACTTTGCCAGAACTCGAAAATCCTATTTCGTGGGGAGAAGGGACTTTTTTTTTAATGCCAACTTCTTTCAGTACCAAGTTTTTGTTATTAAACACTCAGTTCCCTTATATCACTATCCTGTAATATAAGGGGGGGGGGGCAACCAGGGGAAAAAAGTAGGGGGTGGTCAGCCCCCCTCCCAACCCCCGTTGCTACGTGCCCGGAGCATGTTGAGTCAAATTTTATTCTTACATGTAACACTGATGAGAAGTAAAAAAAAATGTTGTGTATTTATAAAATTAATCAAATAACAATCCAGAAAAATTAAAGTACAAATGTCAAAAAGCAAAACCAACTCACCAGTATTTCCTGTCCGTGCTCAGTGATATGTGCAGTTGAATACACCCGGTGAAACTTCACATTAACAAAACAGAGTTCGTGCCCAAGGTACGTAGCAACAGGGGCGGACAGGGGGCCGGAGATAACTTTTACTATTGAAAATATTTGATGAAAGACTGGTCCCCCTTATTTTTGCTACAGTAAATTTATATTAGTAATAACATAGTATTTTATGCAAAAAGAAAAGGTACATGTTCTGAAAGACGTTGGTCTGGGAAAAAGTTGGCCTTTCAACATGTTAAAGAAACACTTTTGAAGAAAAAAAAATACTGAATTTCAGAATCAGAAGCCAGAATTTAGAGCTCTCGATCGAAGAAATGCTTTGACAGTTACGTCAGTAGATGCAGCAGTGTTAATTTTTGCATCGTGTTACGTTTTGCATCGTAGAACCAGAGTAAGAATACTACAAACACCCCACTTCTGGCCATTATGCACACGTCATTGCAAAAAAAAAGAAAAAAAAGAAAAGAAAAAGAAATTGAAAATTAAGAAAACCCCCCCTTTCTGTATACTTTAATTGATCTGTAGATGTTTGATTTTTTGCTCCCCGCATCTAAATAAAAAGAGCGCCGTTTTTCCTACTCATTTTGTTATATGTTCAAGATATAAAGAGAATTATAAACGAACTGCAAAAAGTAGTACTTCGCCATTGTACTCGGTTCATTTCAAAATGAAAATTTTTTTCAGTTTCATGTTGTTTTATGTAATAATTTAAGAAACGACCTTAAGTGTGTGTCTGGTCTCATGCTCAGTGGAAAAGGTGAAGATAACGAACAGTGATCTATCACAGAAAACTACAAACAATATAAATCTGTGGACAGGGTATAAAACACAAACCCCTGGAAATTGAAACTCCAGAAGTAGGATCAGGTGCCTAGAAGGAGTAAACATCCCTCAAAATAGGATCCTTAGGTCCTGAAACAAGGCAAATGACATTTTACATTTACTTTACCCTAGTCACCAAATGATCTCAGAATATCTTTACCCTAGTCAAAAATTTACTTTACCCTAATCATGCTCAAATTTTGTACTCGCAATCTGGCTTTAATTAGCTCATTTCATGCCAACTTTTCGCAAACATTGTTCTCTTCTGTGTGAAATATTTCAATTTTAACAACAAAATTTATAATGTAAGTCTGTATAACGCTGAAACTCAATGCAGAATAATCGAAGCGTATTTGCCTAACGCCATCTTGGACTAGGGTAACGCACTTTACCCTAGTCCGTTTCTACACAGTGTAACTAAAGCGGTTTTAATTTTATGGCGCTAGTCCACGAACTTTTTGATAACCCGTCGTATTTGATCATAACGTAACCGAAGCATTTTTGTAGCAATATATCTAAATAAAATTTTAAAAAATATATAGTGTGATTCATAAGAAATATTGTGAACTTAAGTGACTTATATGGAACGCCATCACTGGCTTATAGCATAAAACTATGCATTTATTATGTCAATCTATCATTACGTGATGTGAACATATCTTTACGTTATGTCATTTTTTTTATGGGGTGATGGAAAAATATCTTTACATTATATCAATGCTGCATTACATGAAGTAAACACATTCTTCCATTATGTCAGCACTTCATAATTTGAAGTCCAAAGGTCATTATGAGAAGTGACAATATGTTTACATTGTGTTAAAACTTTATTACGTGAAATGAATGTTTCTTTATATTATTTCATTTCTTTAATATGTGAGGTCAAAATTGCATTATGTCAAGTTAATTTCGTTTAACATGTGTTCTATGATTAAATTTATCATTACGTTAAGTCAAAGACCATTCCCTTTTGTGAGCGTATACATATTTCTATTATAACTAAGCATTATTACGTGATGTTAATGTATGGAACGCCGTCACTGCCTTATAACAGAACACAACAATTGCACTGCGTCAACCTTCCATTACATTATGTCAACTCTATATGACATTTACTCACACAACTATTACATTGTGTCAACCTTCTATTACATTATGTCAACTCTACATGATATTAACTCATACTACTATAGCATTGTGTGAACTTTCCTTTACAATATGTCAACTCTTTATGACATTTACTCACGCTACTATTGCATTGTGTGAACTTTCCTTTACATAATGTCAACTCCATATGACAGTTACTCACACTACTATTCCATTGCGTCAACCTTCCATTTCATTATGTCAACTCTTTATGACACTTACTCACACTACTATTGCGTTGTGTCAGCCTTCCATTATATTATGTCAACTCTTTATGACATTAACCCACACTACTACTGCATTGTGTCAACCTACCATTATATTGTGTGTCAATTCTTTATGATATTATCCCACACTACTATTGCATCGTGTAAACCTTCCTTAACATTATGTCAACACTTTATGACATTTACACACTTGCATTTCGTTATGTTTACTGTTCATGACATTTAATTAAACAACAATTCCATTGTGTTAACCCATCATTACATTATGTCAATTCTTTATGATATTAACTCACACTACTACATTATGTCGATTCACTATTACGTTATGCGAACACGGGTATCCTCGGCCTTTATATGAGCATAACGTATTTTCCGCATTCCGCAAGCACTAAAATTGGCGGGAGATATAATTGTCGTAGAAGAAATCTCAGC